CATAAAACTGTATTATATAGTACAATCATCCATGGCACAGTTTTATGTTACACCAACAATACATATAATAAATACACACATGGATGATTGTACTATATAACACAGTTTTATGTTACACCAACAATACATATAATAAACACACATTATATAGTACAATCATCCATGATATGCTTTGTTGTTATAACATAAAACCGTGCTCAGTAGCGGATCTAGGATTTTGGAAAGGGGGGGGGTACGATCCCCTGGATGGGCGCTATATAATTTCAGCACACATCATTTATATCGATTCACCCAGATCATACATCAAACTTAAATATAATATTACAAATTATTGGCCTGTAGCTAGGAGAGGCAGGAAATAAAATATTTTATTGAAATTATTTATTGTTAAAAGGGGCGCACTTTATAGCGTAAGGGCGCAAAATTATGAAAAGGGGGCGCACCCCTGTACTCCCCTGAATCCGCTAGTGAAGTCTGTGCTATATAATACAATCATACACTCTTTTATCTTATGACATTTTGATTCCGTTTCACTACAACATATAGTAGCCTAAATTAATTTAGGTTTGTGAATAATGTTATAACATTTCGTCGAATTCGTTATTCGATATTATACAGCGGTAAAAAAAGAAAGAAGTCGTTAACATATACATATAATCATCCATTATTTTACTATTCACACGTACAGCTGCTGTAGCATAAATCATCTGTAGGGGTAAAAATGTAACTTTACCTTTCAAGTGTCAACAAAATTACAATGATCTTTTGAATTGACTTAAAAATGCAAATATTGTACGAAGGTTCTATAATTTTTGTGTTTTATTATACATCGACGGGTTATGGAGATTTCAGTATGAAAACGTTATTTTTTAATGAAATAATATCTTTACAGTTAACTGACAATTCATAATGCTTCGATTTTCCTGTAATAACAAGAAAAATGATGGAAGATGAAGATAAGTTCGACATCCGCCAGATAGCGCTGAGAAGACAACAGCGACGTCTGCATAGTCGCGCATCTGTCGAGGAACTTCTACAAACCGAAGCAGCTTCGTTTGGAAAGGTATTTGAAAAACAAATCTGGTTTTTAAGTCGTCACATGTTAATATTTTATCATGTTTAATGAAAAGCTGTTTTCATTTACTGTTTTGACGATTTATTTAGTAAATACTAAACTTTACTCGTTTCAAAAGCCAAGAAGAATTATTTGATATTATGTATTTTATGGAGAAAATATTGTAAAACAAAAACAAAATCGGAGCATTTAAACTCTTGTTATTCTGATTCAGACAGAATCTGATTTCATTTCTTTTTTTCTGTGTTAAAAACTATTTTGTTTCAAGATTGTAAAGATTAAAAAAAGAAAAAAAATGCACCCTGTAAGTTTTGTAGAGGCCTGGCATGGACAGTTGGTTAGGGCACTCGACTCGCAATTTGAGGGTCGCGGGTTTGAATCTCCGTCCCACTAAACATGCTCGCCATTTCAGCCGTGGGAGCGTTATAAAGTGACGGTCAATCCCACTATTCGTTGGTAAAAGAGTAGCCCAAGAGTTGGCGGTGGCTGATGTTGACTAGCTGCCTTCTCTCGAGTCTATCATTTCTAAATTAGGGGACGGCTAGCGCAGATAGCCCTCGTGTAACTTTGCGCGAAATTCAAACCAAACCAATCAACATAAACGGCGTGAAAACATTTTATTCCATGAACTTCTTTTTCTCACCAAAAACGCGAATTTCAGTAAGAAAAATGACGTAAAGGCCTAGTCTATTCTCTGATTCGCTACTTCCATTTGTGTTTAAAGCATTTTCGTCTTTATACGTTAATAACAGTTTCTGAATGTCTCCACCAGTAACGTCATGCTCATGGGTCACAGGTGGGCACCAACTCCCCTCCCCGGTGTTTTCTACAAACTGTTTTAATAATTCCAAATTCATGTGTAAGCGTTTGATTAAATATTTTCGAAAACATTTGTTTTTATTGAAAACCAATAAGTTAATCGAAGGAACGGGTATTTTTAAAATCTGAAAGTAAGCCTCCCAATGGCACAGAGATATGTCTTTGGAATGAAAACGATAGAAACCGGGTTTCGATACCCGTGGTGGGCAGAGTACAGATAGCCTATTGTGTAGCTTTGCGCATAATTACAAACAAACTGAACAATAAAAGGCTCCCCCATTTATTATTTGTATAATTATTGTTATTAATTCACCATTGACAGCAAAAGTACTTTGTTTGCTGACTGTGCCCCCCCCCCCCACTAAAAGCAATAGTTGCATGACGCCCCTAGGTCTTATTTGTGTGTGTGTATTTTCAGCCGCGGCATAACGGCTCATAGAATGGCTCTGAGTTTGTTTGTCTTTTTACGAGTACAAACTTTTAACTCACAGCTCCATCTCTAAACCGATTTGAGATTTAATTACAACCGCGGATTCCCTTTTGTTGTGGGATGTGTTTTAACATCACAGTGTTATTAATATTGCTTTTAGAGAAGATCAAGTTCTTTCGACACCAAAAGTTTCGGAGTAGATTCGAAGAACGGAACGCAAAAATCGTTTGTTAGTGCCATGACTGTCACGCTGTTCGAGGACGACACGAGACTTGGAAGAATGCACGTGCCACCAGTTATCAAATGTGAGGTAGGTAACGTATTGATCGTAAATTTTAAATTCTCCCCGTAGATTCATGTCACGTCGGAATCTTTTTTTCAGAGATATTAATATACAGATTTCGTTTACTGCATGCCATAATCTGTGTCCTCATCTATAATAAGACTAATCTGTGTCCTCATCTATAATAAGAGCTCGCTATTGTTCAGTGTCACGAATATTCCCATTATTCTATGCACATCGAAATAATTTGTTCTTTTTGACATTTTCTGAACTTAGTTTAACAAAGTCGCATTTGTGGACTTTCTAAGGAAACGAAATTAGTTTCGAAAAGTGTTGTTGTTGTACCACATTCTTTGACAAGTTATATATATATATAAATAAGGCGCACAAAAACAAAATCTGTATGTCTGTCTGTTTGTCCGTTATCTAACTACTGCTAAGTCACTAGATAAATCTCAACCAAACTTTGTGAGATTATAGTTTGGAACAAATGGCATGTTAGTGGGTGTCACAACCCCCTCCATCCCAATTATTGCTGTCATTGAGCATTTATTATATTTGCCGCAATTTAACGTTAACTATACTCATATATGGCGTCATGTCCTTACACCGACCCAAAAAAAAACTTTTATTAACTTTTCAATAACACAGCATACACACAATGTGGAGGAAAGCACATAAACGTCTTGTATATATCAGAGAGTGCGCCACTATTTCAATAATACATAAATTCAGCTGGAGTTTCTACTCCAACAGCCACTATAAGGATGATATGAAGAGCCGTTTCTTGAGTTATATCCACTTCCTACTTGGGCCCGGCATGGCCAGGTGGTTAAGGCACTCCACTCGCAATCTGAAGGTCGCGGGTTCGAATCCCTCTCACACCAAACATGCTCGGCCTTTCAGCCGTGGGGGCGTTATCATGTGACGGTCAATCCCACTATTCGTTGGTAAAAGAGTAGCCCAAGAGTTGGCGGTGGGTGGTGATGACCAGCTGCCTTCCCTCTAGTTTTACACTGCTAAATTAGGGACGGCTAGCGCAGATAGCCCTCGTGTAGCTTTGCGCGAAATTCAAAAATAAACAAACAAACAAACTTCCTACTTTGACCCGTGACCTTACAACTTCATCCCATAAGACACTTCTGCGGCCAATGACCGTCAATTAAATAATCACGTGAAACACCGTAGAAGGACATTAAGAGCTGGGTGTTGAAAGCCGGTAACAGAAAGCACACCCACTGTCACTAATTTGGCTGCTACCTCTTCCTACAAAGTCATCCTAATCATCACACACTGTATACCATGTTTTAAGTATATACATTTTGAGTTATTAAAGCTTATACAAATCTTCTGGAGAGGTAATAATGAATACTATTGTTGTTAAACAAGTGTTTAAACAATATATTCAATTATGTACAAGCTGCCTAGTGTCGGCTAACAATACGAAGAATTACATTGTGGCGGAATGCTACAAGTTCTTCAAATACCAAAAGAATGATAGG